CGCCGGAGACTGGCAGCGCCCGCGAGCCGGCTAGTGCGCCGGGCAGCGCCCGGCGTCGTCCCGCCCCCACCGGACGCAGGACCTGCCTCCCATAGGGCCGCGGGGCTGCCAATCCGCCCCCAAAAGGCGCGCGGGCTGTGGCTCCGGCTGTCCCGATTGGTGGCCGCGCAGGTCTATGCAAATGAGGCCCCGCCCCCTCCGTTTGCATCCCCGCCTCTCCACCGCAGCCCACGTGTCTGGCCCTTGCCCTTTGTGGGGGCCGGAGAGGAGGGATGGAGGAAGCGGACGGACACCTCTTGGCGTCGCCCTTTGCCTCCAGGCAAAATACTGCTAAGCCTCTGCCCTGCCTCTCTGCCCACCCAGCCCGCCCTTCACGAAGCTGGAGGGGTCAGGCCGTGCTGACCCCAGAAAACAACCTTAGAGACTGGGAAGAGCCAATGAAGCACGTAGCCCCTCTCTCGGGACACCCAGCGGGCGTGACCACGCTGTCCCTTGGGGCCTCGGCCTCTCCCGCACACCAGCCCAGGTGAAGAGGACCGAAAGGAACCCAAAGGATGGATGGGCTGCTGAGCTAATTCAGCTTCAAGGCGACACCCCTCCCCCAACCCCGTGCCCAACCCTGGGTGACTCCCATAGACATTCGGGAGCTGCACCGGGGGACTTCCGCTGGACCTGTTCGGGTTTTTTTGGGGTTTTTTTGTTTTTCAAAAAGGAGGTGAGTGTCTCGCCTGCATGTATGCCTGTGCACTGTGTGAGTGCAGTGCCCAACGGAGGCCAGAAGAGGGCGTCGGATCTCCTGGGGCTGGAGTTGTAAACTGCCATGTGGGTGCTGCGGATGGCACCCAGATCCACTGGGAGAGCAGCAGCCAATGAGTCTCTGTCTTTCTATGTCTAGCTCTAGCTCTCTCTGTCTCTGTCTGTCAACTAAAAGTCCCAATTCCCTATGGAACTGTCTCGTAGCCACATGAAATTCCGTGTTTTCTGGCTCCGCGTCTGCTTTTATCCTAGTTATTTATTTTTGTTCCTTTTGCATTGTCATGCTTTAGAATTTTTGAAGACCTTCTTCTATATGTCACCATGCTGGGTGATAGTATGGTCATTCCTTTCCTGTCTTCAAAGACCTATGCAGAAAAGACAAAACTGACTTAGGAACCTCCTCTTGGGCAGGAGTAGACTGGGAACTTCCCCTTCACCTGCCTCTAGGGAGGGCCACAGGCTGTTTCCATGAATTCAACAGCACAGATGTGGATAGCGACTCTCCAGCTCACTAATGCCACTTGGTGTTGCATCTACTATGCTTACGGAGAGCAAGAGGTGTGCCCTGCGTGGAGGAGGGCTTATGGAGGTGAGACGGCATTGTGCCAGCCCGCAGAGGCTCCAGCCAGCAAACAGGAACATCCACATTTGAGTAATGTTCCAGGGATGGTGGCGGCACATGTCTACATATTAGAGTGAAGGACTCTCCCCAGGGAAGAGAGTCAGTATCCCCCTGTGAGAGGCAGGGGAGAGGCTTCATTGGAGGGATCACATTGAACCCACCCTTGGGAGACTGAGCCAGACCAGAGGCTGTGGATAAGGAACAGGACTCGGCCAGAAGGTAGGCAGGGATAGCTCTGAGCTGACAAAGCATGCAGACCTGGAACTGCTTAGGAACTGAGTGAACAGCTAGGGGCAGTGTGGGCCAATCTGCAGGGTTGTGGGGACTTGTCACATGTTCTGAGAGGAGACTCTTCCAGGAGGAAGAAAAGCCCGGGAGGCTGCCAGGCTGTGTTGTAACATACCACAGCAAACAACAACAGGCGCTGTCGATACAGCTGCAGGCATTTCTTCTTCTTCTAGGCCAGAGTCTGTAGGGAACAGTCAGTTCTACAGTTCCGATGGCAGCCTGGCTAGCCCCACCCACTCCCCCAGAAAAACCACTCTGACCACCAAATTTACCCTCCTCGGCATCTTCCCTAAGCCTTGATGCCCTGGATGTGGCAGGAGAAGCCCTGTCCTGACGCTTGAAGCAGATCTTTGCAGGTCTTGTCACCAAGGCTGGCTTCATGGGTGTGTCACCTTTTTTAGTGGCACACACTAAGAAGGTCCCCGGTGCTCCGTTTAAAGTACTGCTGTCTGTGGTCATCTTGACATGGTAATTTTTCAACAAGGGGCCCTGTGTGTTCTTTTTGTACCGATTTCTGCCAATTACACAGCAAATGCTATAGTCCTTTTGTGCTGTGACAGAATTCAAACCACATCTGGGTCTTAAAAGTACTTGGTGTCCACAGGGTTTGTTCCCCGAAGCATGGGTAACTCTATGCTCGAAACTGTAATGTGGCATCCATTTTTTTTTTCCTCTTGCTTATTCATTGAGAGAGCTGCAGATTAGGGCCAGTGAGATGTCTCATCAGGTAAAGGATCCTGTGGCCAAGCCTGGTGACCTGAATTTGATCCCTGGGTTTCACATAATGGAAGAAGAGAAGAAAGAGAAAGAACTCTTTTTTTTGTTTGTTTGTTTTATTTTTGTTTTTGTTTTTCAAGACAGGGTTTCTCTGTGTAGCTTTGGGGCCTGTTCTGGAACTCGCTCTTTAGACCAGGCTGGCCTCGAACTCACAGAGATCTGCCTGGCTCTGCCTCCCGAGTGCTGGGATTAAAGGCGTGCGCCACCGCCGCCGCCGCCGCCGCCGCCGCCGCCGCCGCCGCCGCCGCCGCCGCCGCCGCCACCACCACCACCACCCGGCAAGAAAGAACTCTTGCAAGTTGGCCTCTGAACTCTACAAACTCACCATGTGGCACACACACACACACATCACCTCCCCCACGTCATCCACACAAAGAAATAGATGTAATCTGAGAGAGGGGACAGGGACATACTGCAGACTGGAGCCTTCTCCAGGTGGCCTGGCTAGGAAGTGGGCAGGGGCTGTGTTCCAACTCAGCTCCCCCAAAGCCCTGGCTCTCCCCACCACAGAGCCCCAACTCAACGTGAGGATCTTTTTCTGAGGCAGCTGTACACCTGGAGGAGGTACTGCTCGGGTAGTGAGAACTCGCGGGGAGGCGGGTCTCCGCCATTGCGTGGCTACCCTTTTGAATGGTTTGTCGTCCAAACTAAACAGGTCTCAGTCATAGTATGTGTAGACGTAGTCTCTCCCTGCTTCTGGGACTCCAATCAAAACACAAACACAAGCTCACGCCATCCCTTTCTGCTGGGTCCCATCTTTTCTTCTCCCATGCTTTGCTCTAAGTCCCTTCTCTGCCGGCTCACGAATTCTCTTTCCAGTTTTATGGGATTTTTTGGGGTGGGAACAAGGTTATAGTGATCAGGGTCTTGCTACTTAGGATGGGCTAGACCAGAACTCATAATTTTTTTTTAAAAGAGTTTTTAGACATGTGTGTGTGTGTGTGTGTGTGTGTGTGTGTATACACACTTGCTTGCATGTATGCCTGTGTACCACATGCATGCTTAGTGCCCACAAAAAGTCAGAAGGGGACATGGGTTTCTCTAGAACTAGAATTATATGTGATAGTGGACCACCACACAGGTGCTGGGAACCAAATCCAGATCCTCTGTAACCCCTGAGCCATAACTCCAGCCCCAATATTTAGTTTGTTTTTTTAAAGATTTTTAATTTTTCGCCATCCATCCCAGCACTCAGGAGGCAGAGGCAGGCAGATCTCTCTGAGTTTGAGGCCAGCCTGGTCTACAAAGCGAGGTCTAGGACAGCCAGGACTGTTACACAGAGAAACCCTGCCCAGAAGAGACCACTGAATCCTCTTGGGGCTGGAGTTACAGGTGCAGGGCAGACACCAAGTCAGAGCCATTGGATGAGCAGTTCATGTTATCAACTGCTCAGACATCTCTGCAGTCCCAGGATCTTGTTGTTGTTGTTGTTGTTGTTGTTGTTGTAGCTCATTAGTGTATGCATGCACGTGTGTCATGGCATGCACACACAGCAGTCAGAGACAACTTTAGGGAGTTCTCTCCTCCTACCCTGTGGACCCCAGGAATCGAACTCTGCTCGTCAGGCTGGACAGCACCCTTCCTGCTGAGCCACCTCTCCAGCCCCTGTGAGTTCCCTTTCACTAAGCGACACAGCCTTGGGGGGCCTCGATAAGAGTCATTTTCATTATATATATTGTTTCCTAGCAAATTAGCCCAAAATTTAAAAAAACACTCTGGTGGACTTCTTAAAGGGCCAAGGAGAAGCATTTTAAGCTTAAAAACCATATTCTTTGTCACACTGACTCAGTTGCTCTCACAGCCATTGCTATATGTAAATGAGTCGCATGGCTGTGTTTGAATAAAACTTTATTTATAAAATCAGGCCCCACCCTACACCCAAAGGCATCTGTGGAAACCCATACCTAACATCACAATAACTGGGTGCTTGCCCAGTGGACAAGCACAGGATAAGGATGTCCACTCTGGCCACTTTTAACTTTTGGTTTATTTTGTTTTTGTTTTTTTGAGACAGGTGTTCATGCAATCTAGGCTGGCCTCAAACTTGCCATGTAGCTGAAGAGGACCTTAAATTCCTGATCCTCTTGCCTCCATCTTCTAGGGGCACATCATCATGTCTGGCTGGCCATGTGTGTTTAATATTGGACTAAGTGTTCTAGTCAGGACAGTTAAGCAAGAAACATACAAAGAGGGATATAGATTAAAAAGTAAGGGCTGGAGAGATGGCTCAGTGGTTAAGAACACTGGCTGCTCTTCCAGCGGACCAGGGTTCGATTCCCAGCACCCACATGGCAGTTCACAACTGCCTGTAACCCCGTTCCAGGGGATCCAACACCTTCACACCAATGCACATAAAACAATTTTTTTTTAAAGTAAAAGAAAAAGTAAACTTGGGCTGGTGCCCCGACCTACAAGCTTTGGGACTGACCTGCCTGGGGTGAGGAAAATGGGGATCGGGTGGGCCACATGCTCGGGGGAGACACAACAGCAGCCCAGAAACTCATGCTTAGTACATACAGCTCATTGAGGAGGTGGGCTCACTCACTGTACACAGCTCATTGAGG